TGCCACGATTCTGTCAATCTAGCACTGAAGTGTATTGCCACGACTCTCTCAATCTAGCACTGCAGTGTATTGCCACGACTCTCTCTCTCTCTCTCTCTCTCTTTATCTAGCACTGAAGTGTATTGCCACGACTCTCTCAATCTAGCACTGAAGTGTATTGCCACGACTCTCTCAATCTAACACTGTAGTGTATTGCACGACTCTCTTAATCTAGCTCTCTTGAGAGTGACCAATGACCGCTTGCTCGCATTGGACAGTGGTGATATCTCCATCATGATCCTCTTAGACATCAGTGCGGCCTTTGACACTGTTGACCATGTAATCCTTTTCAAAACCATTGAAAATTACTTTGGAATTTCTGGTTCAGTTTTGGCTTGGTTTAGGTCCTACCTCTCTGATAGAACGCAGGCGGTCTCTGTCGATGGCTGTCTCTCAGGCAGTGCTGATTTGGTGTACGGAGTACCACAGGGGTCCGTTTTGGGCCCGATTCTATTCACATTGTATACCAGACCACTGCTCATCTTGCTTGGGAGGCATGCCGTTGAGAGCCAGTCATTTGCAGATGACACGCAGCTATACAAGCATACTCATCCTTCTCTTGTTGAATCCGCTGTCCAGACTTTGCGGGGGTGCATTGATGATGTCAAGTCATGGATAACACTCAGCAAGTTGAAGCTTAATGACAAAACGGAAGCACTCCTCATCCACAATCACACATCATCCTCTACCTCAACTCTTCCAGGTAGGTAACTCTGTCTCACACATTTGTCGTTCAGCATACACCACTATCCGTCGGATCAGCTCCATACGTCACTACCTCACAGTTAGCGCTACAAAAACTCTAGTCTGTGCTCTTGTTCTCTCTCGTCTTGACTATTGCAACTCTCTTCTGTCAGATTCACCCAAACACTGCATAGAAAAACTGCAGAAAGTTCAAAACTCAGCTGCTAGGCTAGTTTTAAAGGCAAAAAAAAACGTGATCACTTCATTCCACTACTCCATTCCCTTCATTGGCTACCTATACAGGGACGCATTGACTATAACTTGTCTGTTCTCTGTCACAACTTTTTCTTGGATATTTTTAGTTGAACAACAACAACAAGAAAAGAAAAGGTTTGTTATTGTATTTGTATGATAAATAAATTGATAATTTTTAAACTTGAGTAATATAACTATATGTCAACTCTATTCAATTTCGCTAATATTGTACAATTTTTAATTGTGTATAATTTGTATTTTTCTTGACATAAATTTTGCCTGGATATTATTTTATAACAAAATCGATAGCTCTGATCAATTAAAACAATTCAATATAAGAGTTCCATCCTACTTTATTAGAGAGGGTGATTTTCTATCCGTACCTTTTTATAAAACGAACTCGGTGTAGCCTACAATTCACCTATAAATAGGATATTTTAAAACTTAAATGCACTAAATAAAATCGAAAACTCGCCTGATATATTTAACTGTTGTCATAATGTCTATAAAAAAATTGTCAATAATTATCTTCACAATTATGTTCATTGTTAATTATGTAATTAAAGATTACCATTGTACCTAATAATTTTGTAAACTTGTGTAAATGTGTGGCATACTGTAATTGGGCTTACGCCTGTAGTGTGGCCAAAGATTAAATAAATAAATAAACCTAATCATGTAGTAATACCATGTTGTTTTTGTCTATACAATTTAACAATACAGATTTCTTTTCATTTATGCCGGGTCATAAACGAAGTGGAGCAGAGGCTCGTAAAAGAAAGAAAGAATTAGAAAATAAAAATATAAAAAGTCTAGTAAATTACTGGCAAGGTTTTTAAAAAAGAGCCAAGACGACAGAAGAATCTGAAGCTGAAGCCGAAAACTCCGTACCTTCAGAATCAGATGACGGCAGTTATCAACCGCCTGAACCCCAGTCCTAGAACACGACAGCGAGAAGGTTGAACCATACCGCCAGGATTGCAACATACAAGAAGATGTGATTCAGACAGATGCTACTGTTTAGGCTGAGGAAAACACCAGAGACGTCGTTGTTGAACAGATTCAACAAGACGCTGAACTTTCTGACAGTGACGAGGACAATGAGACTGAAGAATTTTCTTTTGATGAAGAAGCTAAAGATGGTGTTGTTCTTGTTCCTGCTCTCCTAAGATTTCATGATGTTGGCTGCTTAGAATTTGATCAAATGACAAAGCTATCGATAATACCACAGCCTCTTCGTGATGAATTGATAACTCTCAGAACTATACCCTTTCAGCACAGAGGCAGTCTATCGTCAGTAGCAGGTGAACGTTCGATGACTACGTCATGGTTTAAACGCCGACTAGCAAATGGAGAGGAAGTAAATCGCTCGTGGCTAGTATATTCACCAATTAATAAAGCTGCTTACTGTTTTTGCTGTCTATTGTTTACATCATCAAGTTCAAACTCACAATCTTCATTTGAGTTAACCAATGATTTCAAGAAATGGAGAAAGCCAGAAAAACTACAGTCTCATGAAAACAGTCTCGGCCACCGCAGAGCTTTTACTACATGGAAGGAAGCCGAGCGGAGGATAATTGATAAAACTGGAATTGATGTCCAGGTCCAAGCTCAAATTCAATTGGAAAAACAACGTTGGCGCGATATTTAGAAAAGAATACTTACCTGTATTAGGTTTCTAGTTTCACAAAATTTGGCACTGCGTGGCCATGAGGAACATCTGCATAAGGACGAGGATAAAAATGTTGGAATCTTTCTCTCTGTGATCAAACTCGTTGCTCAGTATGATCCACTTTTAGAAAAATTCCTACAACATGCCCGATAAAATCCAGGCTCAGTATCTTATTTATCACCGGAAATCAAAAATGAATGTACTTGCATCGACTGTAAGGAATCAGCTGTTGAGTGAAATCAGAAAAAATAAAACAAGTACTACGGTATCTTACTTGACTCAACACCCGATCTAGGACACCGGGAACAGCTTTCTCAAGTCATCAGATTTGGGGATGTGGATTTTCAAACTAAAAAAGTAACCATCAAAGAATCATTTGTATATTTTGTTCAGATTCATTCCAAAGACGCAGCAAGCCTTGAAAGAGTCATCGTAGAGAAATTAGAATCTGAAAACATACCTCTAGCCGACTGTCGGTCACAATGTTATGACAAGGCTGCTGTCATGACTGGGCATATATCCGGCCTTCAACAGCGAATATGTGCCAGAAATCACAGAGCATTGTTCGTCAACCACATTTTAAACTTATCAGGAGTACACACAGCTAAACAGGATCCAGTTGTTATCACATTTTTGGAACAGTTGAAAGTATATATTTGTTTTTCTCTCGTTCAATAACTCGTTGGGAAGAATTAAAAGAAGTTGTGCCAATCACAGTGAAGAGGCAGTCTGAAACACGCTGGAGTGCACGATCAGAAGCTGTTAAAGCTATTTATGAAGGACTAGATGAACTAGTTGGGCTGTTGGAAAAATTATCAGAAGATGCAACTATGACGCCTGAAAACAGAAGTGATGCAGAAACTTTGCTGGGAGGTATATTAAACTTTAACTTCCTAGTTTTGTTACATTTCTGGAAATTATACTTGAGAAAATTGATCGTGTCCAGAAACGGTTGCAGGATCCTACTATGAATTTCAAGGAAGCAGCATCTGATCTTGAATCGCTGGAGCAAGAACTTGTCAACATTCGTGATAATTTGAGCCAGGTTGCGGTAGACAATGGAAAAACAAGATGCACAACTTGTGGAATCGAGGTTGAAAGAAGGATTAGACGACATCGGAGGATGCCTGGAGAATTAGCAAGAGATGCAGGACTTTCTGTTATGAACAGCGTAATTGATGGACTCCAACAGGAGATAGCCTATCAATACGGTTTTTACGTATAAAAAAAGCTAAACACCAAATTTGGATTTTTACTAGACGTCAAAACTCTTCTCGCTGAGACAAATGTCGATACACTTCACCAAAATTGCTGAGATTTTGGAAATTTCTACGACACTGACGTCAATGGTCACGAATTGTGCACAGAAATCGGAGACTGCAAAATGCTGCTCAGTACCCGGACTGAAGTTCTACCGGAAACTCCTTTGGATCTTCTAGGTTTTATTGTTTCATATGGAGATGACGTATTTCCGAATCTGCGCATTTCACTGCAAATACTTCTAACAATTGCTGTTTCTATAGCAAGCTATGAGCGGTCTTTCAGCAAACTGAAGCTTATTTTGTCTTATTGACGTGCTTCAATGGGACAAGATCGTCTGAGTGATCTTGCACTTCTTAGCATCGAAAGAGAAGCACTTGAGAATATTAATGTTGAAAAGGTGATTGACGAGTTTGCGACAGTCCAATCAAGGAGGATCAATTTGTTGTAGACTATCTCTCTTCCAGTCATGTATAATTAGTAGAGTATATATTTGTAGTTCAAATAAATTGTTTACAATCGTATAGAGAATTATGAGTCTGTATTCTATTTCATTAAAATAACAGATACTTCGAAAATGAACCATATAAACCGTAAAATTTCAAAATTTTCTTAGGGGCTCACACTGAGCCCCCAGACTCTGTCGGTCCGAGAAGGGGTGCAGAATTTGTGTCATGCCCAGCCCTAGGCTGAGGTACCGCGCTATATAAGACGTCTTATTATTATTATTATTAATCTAGCACTGCAGTGTATTGCCCGAACTCTCTTAATAGCACTGCAGTGTATTGCCACGACTCTCTTAATAGCACTGCAGTGTATTGCCCGAACTCTCTTAATAGCACTGCAGTGTATTGCCATGACTCTCTCAAGCTAACACTGCAGTGTGTTGCCACGACTCTCTTAATCTGGCATTGCAGTGTGTTGCCACGACTCTCTCAATCTAACACTGCAGTGTGTTGCCACGACTCTCTTAATAGCACTGCAGTGTATTGCCACGACTCTCTTAGTAGCACTGCAGTGTGCTGCCACGACTCTCTCAATCTAGCACTGCAGTGTTTTCTGAAAGCAACTTGTAATAAACAAATGAGAAAACATGTCCACTCTTTATTACATGTTTGAATGAATTTATACATAGAGAGTGATTGTGAATATTCAATGGAATGCTTCAAAAACATGTGCAGTTTGTCTTGTACAATGAATCAAGTTAAAAGCAAAGGGTAAAAAAGAATGATGTAAAAATGACTTGTACAGCATCAAAACTGCTATTCAATCTTTGAGTATTAGATCAAACTAATGAATACATGTGCTAATGTAATCATAAGGATGCTACAAGTGTAACCTATTTTAAGTTACAAATCTTACAAAAGCCAATAAATTACACATGCTTACAATTTCAATTGGCACAGTCTGACTCAGACAAGACATATAGGTACAACTTGTACATTCATTAAAAAATAATTTGGTATTTCTTCAAAAACTATATTTGTTCTTTGTTCATTCCATCCTCGCTTTAAGCATCTCAAAGATAAAAAGAAAATAAATACAATAAAGGATAATATCCACAGATTCATAAAACACAGACAAATGATCTGGTCAACATTCATGTCACAGACAAATGATCTGGTCAACATTCATGTCACAGACAAATGATCTGGTCAAAATTCATGTCACTGAGAAATGATCTGGTCAACATTAATGTCACAGACAAATGATCTGGTCAACATTAATGTCACAGACAAAGGATCTGGTCAAAATTCATGTCACTGAGAAATGATCTGGTCAACATTCATGTCACAGACAAATGATCTGGTCAACATTCATGTCACAGACAATTGATCTGGTCAACATTCATGTCACAGACAAATGATCTGGTCAACATTCATGTCACAGACAAATGATCTGGTCAACATTCATGTCACAGACAAATGATCTGGTCAACATTCATGTAACAGACAAATGATCTGGTCAACATTCATATGACAGACAAATGATCTGGTCAACATTCATGTCACTGAGAAATGATCTGGTCAACATTTTTGTCACAGACAAATGATCTGGTCAACATTCATGTCACTGAGAAATGATCTGGTCACACATTCATGTCACAAATGATCTGGTCACACATTCATGCCGCAGACAAATGACCTGGTCAACATTCATGCCACAATAACAATAATTACAACAATATTAATGAGCTTATCTTATACATTAATATGCATGACTCTGCATTTACACATGCTTTTAACAACTACCATACCAGTATTGATTTTTTCTTTTGGAATTAATGAGGAACAGGAAGATAGTGACTGTATTGGTTGTGAGACAGAGTTTAATCTATATTTCTGAAAGAAAGATGATGATAGGTATTGCCTATACTCAATGGTACTATATTTTTTGTATATTGTTTACTTAATTTTCTAAATGTAGTTTTTCGAAAATGTCCTCCTCTTTTTTAAGACCCCTCCAATTTACCACCTTGTTTTAACTGCAAATTAAAGGTCATAAAACAGAGGTTTTACTGTAATGAAATCCTTGGCAATAATGATGATGATAATCCTCGGAATGATAATAATAAAATGTATGACAATAATAGCTATGACGACTCTATGACAATGAAATGATAATGATGGCAATAATGAGAACATTGGTAATGACTAAGCCACTGACAAGGGTACACCTAGTAAGTAATTAAGAATAATTTCCTCACATCCATTTTTGTACAGACATTATTCCTCTCTTTTCTTTCACTCTACATACACATATGGCAAGACTGACACACTCTGCATACACACATGACAAGACTGACACATTGTGCATACACACATGACAAGACTGACACATTGTGCATACACACATGACAAGACTGACACATTGTGCATACACACATGACAAGACAATAAAGTTAAATTTTCACAGAAAATCTTCAAATGTTGCACAACAATATTTATAGGTGATAATTCATAAATGAAAAGATTTGTTCCAGATTTAACAAAACAGTTTTCATAATAACGAATAGATAAAAATAATAAAAAGCTTATGGGTTAGGTTCATATGTTTGTTCATATTTTATTTGTATCATGTGTCTAGTCACGACATAATCCTTTCCTGTTGGTATTATCTGTGTCATCATATGTTGTGTCATCTGGTAGTGTCCTATATTTGTATCATATAGCTAGTTGTGTCACAATCTTTCTGTGTCATAAATCTAGTTGGGTCACAATATGTCTGTCTCATAAATCTAGTTGTATCTCAATCTGTCTGTGTCATAAATGTAGTTGTGTCACAATCTGTCTGTCTCAAAAATCTAGTTGTGGCACAATCTGTCTGTCATAAATCTAGTTGTCACACTATGTCTGTGTCATAAATCTAGTTTTCACAATCTGTCTCATAAATCTAGTTGTGTCACAATCTGTCTGTCTCATAAATTTAGTTGTCACAATCTGCCTATGCCATAAATCTAGTAGTGTCACAATCTGTCTGTGACCTAAATCTAGCTGTATCATAATTATATACAATAATATTTAATGTGAGAAAAAGAAAATTTTCTACCATATTTTTGGTAAACATTTGTGCTAAGAAAAAATAAAATTACCTCTAATAAATTCATTGCCTCTGATTTTTATCTTTTCATATAGTCACCAAATGAATTTTATGGTGGCATTATATTGATTGATTCCCATAGCACCAAAATCTGGTCTGCATCATGTAGGTCGGCCATGTTGTGCCCACAAAACACAACTCCAGACTATAAACATGAAGATTGCTAGCTAATATTTTCATTATTTACAAGACATTACAATTAGGTAGATCACATACCATCAGTGGGGGTGGGGGAACGCAGGCTTTTTGCCTGATCCAAGCAGGGGTAGGGGTGCATGTTTTGCATGAGGATGGGCCATCAGCGATGGCACTTAGCCGTTTCAAGTCAACTACTCCTATGCCACTGCGTTTAAAATGTACAAGGTATAATAAAAATCTCATGTTTCCAAGCTGAAGCTGCAGACAGATAAAACAAAGAGGTGTACCGCATAACGGATGTACATGTCGAGATATTTGCAATGAATGACCTTTTACCTGGCTGAAAGTGATTTATTTCTCATTGAGCTTAACTCTTTGCACTGGCCCAAATGTCCACATGTCAAAGTCTAGTTGCTCACCCACATGAGCCTATTTGTACCTGCCCAATGTCCACCTGTTTAAGTTTTATGGCTCATCTACATCAGCCTATTTGATTGGCCCATATAAAAATAATAAGTAGCTTCAACAGACAAGTGTCAGCATTTGATGATATACAAGCCCAATAGACTGTTATGGAAAATAAATCCTTGACATTATTTGTATAAAAATCTGGCCACCCTTGAGCTTCTCTGATTAAAATTTAGTTGAAGACAGCAACAAATACTTATTAAAACAAAAATTTTCTTAATAGGAAAGAAAAAGAATATTTCCGTGATACAACAAATAAAATGGGCTTGGGGTACAATCCACTGCTCTGGACTATGATCAAAGACAATGTCAGGAGACCACGAGCACCTATCCATGTAATGTCTCATGTAGGCTACACATCCTGGCACAATAGAAGTGTCAATCCAGTGTGAACATGGTTAAAACTGACCACCAATTGACAACACATCAAAACACACATCACAGACCCTGACCGGCTTGCTCAGGTTAAACTTGACAATAGGCATGTCTTTGCTGGAACACTTTGCACATAGGAGACGACCGCAGTGGCGACTGGAGAGAAAACAGGACAAAGGTCAGTTAATTTTACCATATATGATTATTTATGACAGGTAAGCAGAAGTCAGCGGAGTCTCTTTATGGCATCATTGTAATGCTAAATGTGACTCGGATATTAAATAAAATTTTATTTGTTTTTTATTGCACACAATGTATTAATATTTTTATGCATTACACCTTAACACCATGAGTTATACAAAAAATGTCTCTGATTCTTTTATAAATAGTCCATGTCTCCATAAAATAAGCTTACAAACTCCATATTTCAGGACTGAAAATAACAATGTGAGCTCAAAATAGCAGTGTTGATCTAGTTATTTGATTATGCTGAGTTTTTGTTTTTTTTTTGCTGTTTCATAAGACGAACCAAACAGACACTTGGTAGACAACTCAAAGATTTGATAGAATTAACTTTAACAGACACTTGAGTATTTGCTAGGGAAATCATTGGATGATAAGTGGGCCAGGATCTTCCTTTTATCATAGTTTAAATAGAAGAAACATTGGTGAAGATGAATGGCAAAGGAAATATTGAAAATTGTTAATTTACATTTCAATATTTGCTTGGGTCAAACACAAGGCATGGCTGACTACCAAATCAAAATATTTCCCTTTATTAGCTTTGTGGTAAAGAGTATATTTGCTGATACATGGAATCATCACTGAGGGTAAATTATGTATCACCATAATTGAGTCTTATAAGATAAGACAGCTCAGTAGAGCAGATATTAAAAACTGCTGAAATATCCTAGGACTATAATGCTCACAAGACATTTTTCTGAATTGTGTTGAGATAAGTTAGCACACAAATCAACAGCTTTATTCACATAATGTTTTGACTGCACTGTTAAATTTTAACACATCCGCCCCACACTCCATGACACATTTCACCATACTTAACTCTAAGTACACATAGCTCACCAGTGGTGTTTCCTTGTTTTAATGTTAAATTTGGCATTACATTCTAAACACATTTCACCATCACTCCATGGGGGTTCTTTGGATAACATGTCTGTGAATAGAAATATTTTAATGGATAACATGTCTGTAAATAGAAACATTTTAATGGATAACATGTCTGTAAATAGAAATATTTTAATGGATAACATGTCTAAATAGAAATATTTTAATGGATAAATGTCTGTAAATAGAAACATTTTAATGGATAAAATGTCTGTAAATAGAAATATTTTAATGGATAACATGTCTAAATAGAAATATTTTAATGGATAAATGTCTGTAAATAGAAATATTTTAATAGATAACAAGATTGTAAATAGAAATATTTTAATGGATAACATGTCTGTAAATAGAAACATTTTAATGGATAACATGTCTGTAAATAGAAATATTTTAATGGATAACATGTCAAAATAGAAATATTTTAATGGATAAATGTCTGTAAATAGAAATATTTTAATAGATAACATGTCTGTAAATAGAAATATTTTAATGGATAAATGTCTGTAAATAGAAATATTTTAATAGATAACATGTCTGTAAATAGAAATATTTTAATAGATAACATGTCTGTAAATAGAAATATTTTAATGGATAACATGTCTGTCAATAGAAATATTTTAATAGATAACATGTCTGTAAATAGAAATATTTTAATAGATAACATGTCTGTAAATAGAAATATTTTAATAGATAACATGTCTGTAAATAGAAATATTTTAATAGATAACATGTCTGTAAATAGAAATATTTTAATGGATAACATGTCTAAATAGAAATATTGTATAGATACAAACAAATTCAGTAAAAAGAAAATGTATGAATAACATGTCTATAGATTGAAATCAAAATTTTCAATGGTTAATTCAATTCAAGATTTTTTAAAGATCAATCCATTAATTTATCGACTCACCTAACAGTTTGACCAGCAGCTGTTTTGTGGCTACGGGTGCATTAAATATACTGAGACCTTGCTTGTTGACCTGACCCAGGCAGGCTCCTGCACGAACTAAAGCCCGACACAGGCTGCCATTGCCATTGAGGTATGCCAGCAGGATGGCTGCAACAGATAGGATAAGTTACATCAAATTCCTATCATGGGAGGTAAATTACACATAATACCTATCATAGAACTTTCATTACATCTAATTCCTATATGGAAGGTAAATGGCATATAATAATACCTATCATAGAACATCAATTATATCTAATTCCTATCATGGAAGGTGAACTAATTGAAGAAAATTTGGACATAATATAACAAAATTATGTTGTTGTTTTTTTAATTAATTTATAAAAACCTTGGAGAAAATATAATATGAAGTTATTAAGATATCAATATGGAAAAGTTTTCTATATTTTGAGGGTTGGAAGGTTTATAAAATATCTTTTAAGAATAATGTACTAAAATCTATATAAATATAAAAGGTGCTCGGGGAATTAATTTTTTTTCTTCGACCAGGAACCCAAGAAACTTCTTCTTCTTCTTCTATATCTTAAGGGCCCACGATCAATTTATTGATCATTTTGGCTCCTTTGGATAGTTAGCTAGCACATTACCCTTCATTACTTGGTGATCTGTAGCAATCAAGCATTTACATGATTTAATTTAAATCATAATTTAAAGGATAATAAAAGGGAAACCGCTAATAGAAAAATCTGAATTATCACCCTTGACACCACTGGTACACTAGTTAATAATATGTTCAGATGTCTAAAGCATGCAGCCAACCAGCACCCACTTTGCATCCCGCGAAGTAATGAAATATTCTTTATTATTATTATAATTTTCTTCATGGCTTTCCCTCCTGTCCTTTTTTCTTTCGGGCGGCACAAGTTTTTCAGTGAGTATTACGGCCCGCCTACCATTTTTAGTTAGGCAGGCCTGGTCTAAACAAAATGTGTTGCCATTGATTATCACACTATCCCCAGGAGCCATGTTTAATGATGCAGACCTGTGTTTCCTTCAAGGTCAGTTCTGTCGATGGGGTATTCTGGCATGGTTTCTTTGAACAATTCAAATATGGCTGCTGCATTGTCCTTACCATATTGGCCCAGTAAATGAAGTGGATTCTGGCCTCTGAAATTAAATGGTCAAAGGAAATGGTAAAGTGAAATATTTCTTGTTAAATTGAAATAGTCAAGGAATACAAGGGACAGATTTAAAATAGTTCATGTGAGTTCCGCTTAGACTCATACATCACCCTCTAAGAAATTAGAAAACAACATATAAGAATGGGACTAGATAAATACTAATATACTCTTATGGGACTAGATAAATACTAACATACTTGTATGGGACTAGATAAATACTAACATACCCGTATGGGACTAGATAAATACTAACATACTTGTATGGGACTAGATAAATACTAACATACTCTTATGGGACTAGATAAATACTAACATACTCGTATGGGACTAGATCAGTGGTTCTCAACCTGTGGGTCACGACCCTTTTGTGGTCCAACGACCTTTACGCAGGGGTCACAAAAGACCATCGGAAAACACATATTCATGAAGTAGCGACGAAAATTATTTTATAGTTGGGAGTGGCCACAACATGAAGATCTTTGCTGAAGGGTCACGGCATTAGTAAGGTTGAGAACCACTGGTTTAGATAAATACTAACATACTTGTATGCGACTAGATAAATAGTAACATACTTGTATGGGACTAGATAAATACTAACATACTCTTATGGGACTAGATAAATACTAACATACTCGTATGGGACTAGATAAATACTAACATACTCTTATGGGACTAGATAAATACTAACATACTCGTATGAGACTAGATAAATACTAATATACTTGTATGGGACTAGATATATACTAACATACTCTTATGGGACTAAATAAATACTAACATACTCTGCACTGCCTCCTCCTCCCCCACCCCCCCCCACCCCCCCAGCCGGAGCACAGTGTGTACAACAATATAAAAAAAACTGGTGCCTTTAACTTTAACCGATTACAAATAGTGGAATCTATAAAATATCCCCAGGCTCAATATATTTAATAATCCGTATTTTTAAGCCTATTCAAGTTATAGTATTCGGTTATAAAAATCGCACTGACCGCTTCAGTCTTACTTCCTGTTGTGTATGCCACTATTTTTATTTATTTATTTTTTTGCAACGCCACAAGTTTAAAGACTTTAATGACACTATATTAAAATACATTTACATACCTATAAAGGTCTACAATTTTAATAATAGTAAGTCAAGTATTAAACATGTGCAATCTGTTTTCCAATTAGAGTTCATCGTGAAAGCATGGCTAAAAAATTAGGCATCATGCTTTTTTTTTCTAACTTAGAATTTAAAGACCGCAAGGAAACAGTGCACGTTTCATAAATTACTATTAAATCAAAGTTTTTTTGAATTCTTTAAATGTGCTATATTTGTTACAAAAGTTTCCTGAATAACAGATTGGTTTTTTTTTTAATACTTAGCCGTTAGCCTATATTTATTATTAATAACTTCCCATCTGCTTTTCTCTTTTTAATGTCAGAATAAAAAACAAAGTGCCCCATCCATTGTCATTGCCATCATTTTTTTATATTATTAATTTTATTTTAAATGAAAATCCTGTAGAAAGCTAAGAATATTTTTTGTGTGAACTAGCGTTTCAATTATCATGTCAATTCCCTTCTTTTGGAACGTGTTTAAAAAAAATTCTTATTCCTAATTCCTCAATTTAAAATAGATTCTGTGGATTTAGATAAAAATGTTTTAAAGTATAGAGAAGAGGCTATTCTAGAAAGTTCTAGTAGTTTGAAATGCCAAATAAAAATTTCAATCTCCTGAACAATGGGAAATTTATACTTTATTTGCATACGAATTGCCCTTAGTTAAAATCACACATTAATAAATTTAATGTCTTCTGTTAACAACTCATGTCTTCTTAAAATAGTTATGCCGCTCATATGCAATTTATAAAAATGACCAGTTTTCAAAACCATTCAAATAAAACTGTTTTTTTTTTCTTTTTTATTCTGGTAAAATTAGGACATATTTAGAAAAGTTAGTCTAAGCATTATAATTATAAGTAAGTTTGTTTTTTTCCATTAGCGTTCATCATATAAAATAATGTTTGCAGTGCTTTTTAGTGATGGAACCCTTTTTAATTGAATTTTTTTTTTTTGAATTTTTTTTTTTTTGAAAATTCATTTATTAATTAAGTAGCTATCCCTAAAAATAATGCAAATAAAAAATAAAAGCCACGTTACTATTTTTAGTTAAATAATTATTTTAATTTTGTTTTTGTTTTTGCATAACACAATCAAGTCATGTTTTTCTGTTTTGACAACCTTCCATGGAAAGATGATAATTAAGAAAATATCCTCATTACATCTTTAAGCCCCTAAAATATCCGAGGCACCCTTCAGTCGCAGTGTTTGCTGGGCGCACACGATGGTTCTAAGGTTAAGTGGCACCTATATTTTTTTAACTAGGATATCTTTTGTTGCTCTCCAATTAAGTGTGGAATATTGCAAAAGTAAATTCAGATATGTAAAAAATGCATTCTTGTATTTTGAATTCATCAAAACTTTTCTGGGCACTATAATGATTTAAAGGGCGAGAATAATCTAGGGCAAAATCGAACCCTCAAGGGTGACATAACTAGATTGAATATAGTTTACGTCCCGCTGGTGCGAAATTTAAGATGTCTGTGGTCATTATTATGGCTAATTTTGCCATTTCCCACCCAAATGTTTCAAATGCCACCTCAAAATTGTCTGAAATAAACAACAAATTCAAGCATGAGCAAAAAATAATACACCCCTGAATTTTGAGTTTGTACAACTGTCTTTAGCACCCTTAATTATACACCCCTTCCATCACGTTGATCAATGTTATTCAATGGGGTTGATTATAAGCCTATCCGTAATGATTACCCTGGGGCATGCCACAAACAGAGTGAATTCAGTTTATATATGGAACTGGGCTAAATAATACCTTCCACAAAACTATTAAAAAAATACACCTCTTGATTTTGAAATAATCAAAAATTTTCTCTTGCCCAAAAACCCTCCAGCGATCAAAATTCATCAGCGCCATCAATTTCTGCCCTACTTCTTGATGAAAATGATCGCCGATTTTGGTATCGATAGATACACTGCCTTGTGGCGTAGCTACTATTAAGGCTGCCATGAGCGGCCAAATATTTTTGTCATCCTCCCTTTCACGATTCAAACTCTGCAGTTGTCCAAAAATGCCACACCAGCATTTCGACGCCACTAGCAGTGTTTTTTGCGTCGGGGGCAAGATTCAACTCTGAAACTGGTTATTTTCAACCTATTAATTCCATCAAAGCGCCCTCCGGGACGCATGTCCCATCTGCCACCCCTTAACTACGCCTTTGGCCACTTACAACTGGCATAGCCCCCTCCCAAAAAATCTGAAGTGCCCCTGGGGGAAAATTTCTGAAAGAAACACTGCTCTTATGGGACTAGATAAATACTAACATACTCGTATGGGACTAGATAAATACTAACATACTCTAATGGGACTAGATAAATACTAACATACTTTATGGCACTAGATAAATACTAACATACTTGTATGGAACTAGGTAAATACTAACACACTCACTTTAAAAAAAAATTTCTTGCATTCATCATATAGAAATTTTGGGAGGCCTCATAAAATGGGAAGAATTTGTTACAATAATTGACTCACTTGGCATTGACCGCTTCAGCATTGATGGTTGATTCTGTCAACAAGACTTTGACAGTGTTGATGTTACCATTTACCACAGCTCTGTGAAGGCCTGTAAGAGTAAAGTAACATAACTAATGAACAAAAATTATGAATTGAATAATCTCATAAAGCTACATGTATGGTAAACAGACATGTACATTTATGGTTAAACAAATAAAGGTACATTCATGCAGAAATAACTACACAGGTACACTCATACATATAGTAGAGACACATTTAAAGAGGACAAATTATATGGGTGTTTATAAAAAAGGATTACCTGTAAAGGTACATCTAAAAAGAAATAGCTATGAAGATATATTCATGCAGGTACTTTCATAAAACAAATAAGTACAGAAATATCCTTGCAGTTCTACTTAAAAAGTTATCTAAAGTTGAGTATCTCACAACAGTTTAAGATGATCCTGTCATTAACTGCTCAACTTACTGTTGTTGAGATTTTCATCAACTGCATCAAAGTCTGCCCGATTGTCCAACAGGATGGAGCAGATGGCACTACAGTCTTTAGATGCAGCAAGGTGTAAGGCAGTCTCACAGTATTTAGTCCTTTCATCAACAGACGCCCCAGCTAGCAACTGGGGCAATAAAACAATATATAGGTCACAGTTTAAACTAAATGACAGCTAAGCTTCAAATGAAACAACACAACTTTTCCCATTCCATAATATTTATGAAATGAGCTTTGTAGGCTATTGATCAGCTGTAATGATTGGTCCAACAATAGTATTGAACTCAAGTTTGTGAAACTTACCAAATTTCTGACAATAATCTCAGAGCCAGTGATGACAGCAAGATGTAATGGTGTCAGGTTCTGACTGTCCTGTGTCCTTGAGTTGACATTGGCATTGACACTGAGTAGAAATAATACACTTTCAATATCCGCCTTCTGGATGGCTGTATGAAGGAAATTTTTGCCTCTAGCATCCACCTGGGAATAAATGATATTTAATGATTGGTATGCCACAGGCACAAATATCCCTAACAATATATGCCCTGATCTCTCAGGATATGCCCTGATCCCTCAGTATATGCCCTGATCCCTCAGTATATGCCCTGATCCCTCAGTATACGGCCTGGTAATATTAATTAATGTTCCCAAAAGTCTCCATGTAAAATGACAATGCACGTGAATGGCTTGCTCCATTTAAAATGACAATGCATGTGAATGGCTTGCTCTATTGTCTTTCCTATTAATGGTCACACCCCATCACCTCACACACATATTGCCCCTTCACACACACACAAGAACCCACATACACACAGAAGGCACCCTCACACACACAAAAGCTCCCCAACAACCCCCAAACTAGCTCTCACCTGTTCAGCTGCGGTTGGCTCACTATTTGCTCTCACCTGTTCAGCTGCGATTGGCTGACTAATAGCTCTCACCTGTTCAGCTGCGGTTGGCTCACTACTAGCTCTCACCTTTCAGCTGCGGTTGGCTCACTAATACCTCTCACCTGTTCAGCTGCGGTTGGCTCACTACTAGCTCTCACCTATTCAGCTGCGGTTGGCTGACTACTAGCTCTCACCTGTTCAGCTGTGGTTGGCTGACTACTAGCTCTCACCTGTTCAGCTGCGGTTGGCTGACTACTAGCTCTCACCTGTTCAGCTGTGGTTGGCTCACTACTAGCTCTCACCTGTTCAGCTGCGGTTGGCTCCCTACTGAGGATAGCCTGAGCAGCCTTGTTGTCTTTCTTCATCATAGCAGCAGCAAAAGGTGTGTTGTTCTTTTTATCCCTGACAGTAAGGTCAAGGCCGGGGTGGGAGAGTAAGAGAGAGATGACCACGGGAAACTGGTTTTCAATGGCGATATGAACAGGAGTCTTGCCTTCGAAATCCTATGAAAAAAATGGAAAAGATTTTAAGCCTTCGATTCTAGCAGCTGGTAACACATGATGCTATTTTATCATCTCCATGACTTTTATATTGTACTTAGTACAAAACATAATTCTGTTAAATTATCACAAATACACAAGAATATTGTTTGAGGACTTTAAGTTAGAATAAACATGTGTGATATAAGAAACATATGTGATATAAGAAACATATGTGATATAAGAAACATATGTGATATAAGAAACACGTGCTATAAGTGAAGAGTTTCATGTGAAGGCAGAATTATTAACTTGTTTTAAAAAAGTCCTGACAATCAGTAGAATAGCAGGATCGATCGGAATATTTGAGCAACTCGTTACAACAGCCACTTCAAGACACCCACATCCCCCCAGTGCTAACCTGTGCATTGACATCAGCCCACATCCCCCCAGTGCTAACCTGTGTATTGACATCAGCCCACATCCCCCCAGTGCTAACCTGTGTATTGACATCAGCCCACATGGGGGGTCACGATTGGACACGTAACTGTAGTCGGGTGTAGGGGGCAGTGCTAACCTGTGCATTGACATCAGCCCACATCCCCCCAGTGCTAACCTGTGCATTGACATCAGCATTATGTTCCATCAAGCATTGAACAACCATTTCTAAGCCCCACGCACATGCCATGTGTAAAGGACTCTGGCCATCACTAGAAATAAATGTACAGTAAAATTATGGTCACAAATATTCAGTGGATAAGTTAAATGTATTCATATTCCTTTATTTTGTGAATTTAAAATTATAATATTCATGAAGACTCTAAGAAAAAAATCATACCATTTTATTAACGCTTTCTAGAAAGATGAAATAAATGAAACATGCTTACTTCCCCTCCTCTGCACCTTCACCGTTAGGACCTGGCCGTCTGGGACTATTTTTATCACAACCACTGTTTGAGAACAATTTTGTGAATCAATGATTTGTTGCAGAAGTTATTTCAGGTGTTAGAAAGTTATTAATTTTTACAAGACGCTCATTATATAGATTACATTAAACCACCATTAAGTTAACCCAAATGCCTAAAGTCAAGAGTGCTGGACTGCAGTCAAGTTTTCAAGTAGATATGAGACACAAACAATTTGGGTATATAAAACAATTTACGTTAAGTTTTTAATAATGGTTACACAGAATACAAATGCAAACGTTTTGGCAAAAGCCTTCATCAGTACAACCAAAAAACATTCATATAAGTAAAAATTAAATATATATATGTCTGGATCAAACATAATATGTATCTAAATATCTATTCCCCCCCCCCCCCGAGATATAGCTGAAAGAGAAAGAGGGAGGAGGGGCGGGCGGGCGAACCGGCAGACCAGGCAGAGGAGACGGGCAGAGGAGACGGGCAGAGACGGGACGGGACAGACAGACGGACGGACGGACGGACAGACAGACAGATAGATAGATATCCTACCTAAACAAAGAATGTACACAGGTCCCTGAGCTTTGTTTTTGTTAGGGACTTGTGTTCATTCTTTTTCATTTCTTTTCATTCAAAGAATGTTTCCCCTAAGTGTTTTTCACTATATGGTGTCCCTTAATCTAAATTGATGCAACCTCCTTTCTCTCAACCCATTAAATTGATGCATCCCCCATTAATCATATTTATGGTTTTATGGGCTTTCAGAAATCTTACCATTTACTTAGATTATGTGTAAGTTAATGTTAAGATTTATGAAAACCCATTGAAATAAACTCAGAGCCCGTCCCACTATCACCAAGCAAAGAGTTGAATTGCTAGTTGGTCACCTTCTGATAAGAAAACAGGCAATGTCCTCATTGTTCTGATCCAGAGCTCTGTGTAACAATGTGTGGAAATATCCAGCTGGACTCTGTGTCCACAAGTTGACATCACATCCATGCTTTACCTGGCAACAAAGATGATAATGTATGTGCCAGGTAGAGATTGGAAGGTTTTTATTGAATGAGTTAGATCCCAATCATATCACAGAATCACTAAGGGCTAATGCTTTGTCTGTATTTTGCATATTATAATATTATAGTCAATCATTTTTTGACAGCTTATGGTCTGTTCTATCATAAGATTGATACAAAATAAAGAAGTGCAAGGGCCAAAAGTTTGACCATATTTCTACCAGTGTATGTGCTATCTCCTCTTGCCCTGAATCCAATGCTTGCCACAAGGGGCAGTTACCCTCAGCGTCTGTTACATCCTTGTTGACTCCTCGTTTACACAGTGCCTCGACCACCACAGGCAAGTGACGGGCAATGGCATGCTGGATCACACTTTGTTCGTCTGGGGTCCTGAAACAGATATATAAATCAGCAACAGCCATAGAAATCTGTAACAACAGCTGGCAGAACAGAAATAATTTATTTAATGTCATATATCTACTGTCTTGTATCTGATGAACAAAGAGGGAGGTGGGGGTTGAAGCAGCAAGTCAGCTATTATAACTCAATTTATTTTTTTTTACTAATGTATTCACCCACATTGCCTCGAGGTCAGCGAGATGATCCATCAAAAACAAGGCACTGACGGCATCTTGTTTCTCTATGGCCTGAAAGTAGACAAAAATCAGAAGAAAGTAGACAACAATCAGCAGAAAGTAGACAACAATCAGAAGAACGTGGACAACAAGAAGAGACAGTAGCTACAAAAGGAAAGTGTTTTGTAAAGGGAATATTTTGAACCACCGATTCTAAAGTTATTTATCAATAATCTAAAGCCAAGCTGTATATAAAAATGTAAATTATAAAATGTCATGAAGAGTTTTTAATTTTGTATTTTTTTTTTAATTGAGTGTTAAGAGGCAAAAAATTTGCTCTGGCCTGAAGCACCCACTGTAAAGAAAAACACTGCTATAAATAATCAGACACATAAACTTATAACAAAAATCTGGTAAGAAGTGAGCATTCCAGCTGATTGGAAAATAGCACTACTAACCCTAAGACACACAAAAAAAGATTGCAAAAAGGCCCAAACATCAGAGGAATTCCCCAATTAAATGTAGAATACAAAATAATGATAAAACTAATTGCCAAGAGACTTCAACCTACACCAATCTAATACTAGGTGACTACCAATGGGAACAAATACTAGGTGACTACCAATGTGAACACGTAATTTGTGAATACCAATTTGAACAAATACTAGGAGACTACCAATGTGAGCAAATACTATGTGACTACCAATGGGAACAAATACTAGGTGACTACCAATGGCAACAAATACTAGGTGACTACCAACTTGAATGAATACTATGGGACTACCAATGTGAACAAATACTAAGTGACTACCAATGTGAAAAATACTAGGTGACTACCAATTTGAACAAATACTAAGTGACTATCAATGTGAAAAAATACTAGGTGACTACCAATTTAAACAAATACTAGGTGACTACCAATTTGAACAAATACTAGGTGACTACCAATGGAAACAGTTTGGCATACACAACAAACTTAAAAGAGTTTTTTTAATGTTAAATTTAGAGACCCAACGAATGCGATTTTCTGATTTCAGCGAAACCTGACCTTAAGTTAAAAATGACTTTCAGCAGAAACAAAAGCCAAAAGCTTTGCAAGACTTCCGGCTGAAACTGAAACCAACATTTTTTTATATTTCGAAACATATTCATACATACGTTCCGTGTACATCAAAAAAGGATGGAAGAAAAACTCAATATTTATATTATTTTTTTAAAAATTAGATTATCGTGAATTTTAATAGATAAAAATCTAATGAATACTTTTGCTGTTACCATTTGAATTAAAAAGTAATTTCAAGTTGTTAAAAATGTATTAATTAAAGTAGTATGATAAGAGAAAATTTTGATGGGGGTTGGGGGGAGGCAATTCATGCAAATTAGACCCTTGGGCACCCTCTGCTTTTATTATATTATAATTACAATGACCCACTAAAATGTCCACACATAAGCTTGAGGGAACTCTTTCTTCCACTAAACCAGGGGTCACCAAACTTTTTTAATGGCGGGCCAGATAATGACAAAAAATGACGATCGCGTGTCAGATAATTATTCTGCGCAATACTTGCAAGGCAGAATGAAAGCTCTGGGAAAAAAGACGAAAAAATAAGTTTAATATTCCGTTTTAATCACGGGTGAGTGGCGTGCAATGCAAAAAAGCTAAGACAACCAACATATTTATTTGCTAAAAAATTAGCTAAGAAGGCGATGCTAGCAAAAAGATAATGACATCAGACCTAGTGCGCACATATTCGAATCTCGCAAACTAAGCAGCAAATAAGGTTAGTGAGGTTTGTGAAACTGACATTTGGCTTTCAAGATATCATCAATGTTTGGTTTGGAATTGCTGCATCCAATCAAACGAACTGTTTTCAAAAGTTCATCAATCCCTCTCGTTGAATGTGTTGCCGTTACATACTTTATTTTTGAAAGTACTTGCTCACAGACATAAATTGCTCCATGCATGCTGCAAACTGATGACAACTCTTTTGTTATGTGAAAGTCCAAATTGACACTACAAAATAAACACGAGAATTTTTGAGAGATCAGTAGACTCATCTAGTGCCAGAGAGTACCACATCAAGTTCCTAGCTTTCTCACATATCTCTCCAAATTCTTTTGTTCTCCGCACAACTGAACTTACCGAAGGGTTATTAGTTCCAACTGCAGCAACTATGATTTTTAACGTCCCTGTTTGTTTCCAACACTCCTCTTTCTTTCACCAATTTACTACCCAGTTTGTGGTAGTTATCAGACTAATATATTAGCAGAAATATGCTTAATGGAAATTGATTCTTATTTTATACTTTTTTTTAAACCAGCTTCTCCAAAAAACAACAACCTCGGGTTACTTGGTAGGTTTTATAAATGATGTCATCATTTGTTCATTAATTCTTATTTAAATACATTTCGCTTTATTTTGATCTGAGTTCGAGTTTGAACCAAGTTAAATTTCACCAGTAACTTTATTCTTACCAGTGAAAGACTGTGATGTGATTTGTACGTCCACTCAGTATAAATTAATATCAATAGCAAATACACGTCTGCAAAAACTAAGTGACAGCAGATTGCATTTTAAATGTCAGTCATCTACTTTTAGTAGTTAACTTTTTTTGGTGCAAACTTAACTCGATCCTACTAGGCACTGCGATGCGAGGAGTTATTGTATTCATTATACATAATGTATGTTTATTTATTTACTATTAAGATACAACATTGTACCTTTTTGAGATGATATTGTACAATTTTAGGAGTTCGAAGATAAATAGGTTTGTAATAAACAAGAAAATCTAGATACAATAATTTTAAAATTGAAAATGATAAATTAAGGTGCAAAGCAGCCAGGAGGTCTCCGCACTCGTGAAGATCTTCTAGTATTCTAAACATAATATTGAAATTTAAATTGTATCTCGTGTTCCATACGTTTTATCAAGCAAGTTCAAGTACCATCTGCGGATGAACTGGCCGTAGTTTGATGACCCCTGAACTAAACCATTATATTTTTGTTGAACACGATTTCTTATTGGTCTCTACATTTAAGTTTTTTGTTTATCCGCACTTATCATTTATCGGCTAATTATATATTTGACCCACAATTAAACAACATTTGAACAAATGTTGAGCTACGTTTATTATGAAAATACAGTAAAACACCTGGTTACACTGGAAATCCCAAAAGAGTACAAAATAGTTTCAGAATAGTACTTTGCTATCTCAAAATCGTACAATGCTTTATAATAATATTAAATAAATAAACATACAGCATAATGTTAATAACTATTCGCCTTGCATGTCTAATAAAGGTCACTTCTCAAAGTAGATAAATGACATTTTTAATACATGTATACAGTGCTTTATTGCAAATGAAAGGTGACCTTCTTTTGCAAATTTGAAAGACAAAGAAGTGATGGGGCAGGGAAAATTGATGATGCCTCCCCCCCCCCCCAAGTCACCTGGAGAAAATGGAGGTGGGGGTGGGGTTTGAGGAGGAGGCTGAGCCCACTTTCCAGAATTTTTTTTATAAATTCAAAACAAAGGGATGCACTTTTGTGTATGCCTGAATATTGTTTTGCATCATTCTAGACTAAATCGTAATGCTTCTGAAAAATTAGGTTCCCCTTACCCAACATTTTTTACATAAATCCTTTTTATTTTAGTAGTTAGTGAATAGAAAAATTGTTTCATAACTTATTACTTATTTTGATTTCTTTTAATCATTCCTAAATGGGGGCAAATACACCAAAATGGCATATACTGTCCACAAAAAAATTATATATATATATATAAATTGTGCGAATAACTACCACAAGCTGTAAATAGTGGGAAAAGGGAGGTGGGGGGTGAGAGAGTAGTATGGCGATACCAAACTGTTTTAGTATTAAAATCATACAGGGTAAAGATCGTTAAGGGGATAGAGTTGCTTTGAAAGTTCTAAAAATAGATTTCAAATGCAGCTAACTAGAAATAAAATATTTCCGTGCAGAACAGTTTGAAATGCATCTTATTTTTTTTTAAATTAAACATCCCTTGTTTTCTCCGTTTCCACAATCGATGCGGTTCAGACCAATGAAATAGGCCTAATTATGTCACAAAACTTTGTCACATGCATATTCAAAACAAAAATAATAATAGAAATCCTATCATTCACTATGATTTTTTTTCACAATGCTATTCACCTTTGCCAATGAAAACATTTATGAGCATGATAATGATAAATCAACATGAATATCATAAATGAATGGATTGAATAAACCTAGGTTTTCCAAATTTTGTTTTGAAAAATTAAAACAAAAATAATAATATAAATATTACCACTGCCTTAGTTTTTTTTCACAAAACATTTAACTTATCAGTATTAGAAATTTCATTTTTGAAATATTGGTCAAGTAGGTCATCATGCAGCTGTGAGCAGTCTTTGCAGAAGATTAGTCATATATCATAAGATGACAGCAAGACATTGAGCAATAATGAATATCGGATTGTCGACCGACAGACAGGGTGACAGTCTGACTTCTGGTAGATGACAGAAAGCCTCAAATACTTTTGCCCAAAAAGGGAAATGAACTGAAAGTTAACTTTTCCATTTTGTCCAAAACTACATCAAAAATGATCAAATGGCAACTTTCGGCGACAAATCCAAAATTCATCTGACTCTAGTAACATGTAACATTAAAAATAAATAATTCAAAAAGCAAAATCAAAGTTCTGGGTGAATATTCAAGGGAATTTCAGATAGAAAAACATATGAAAAGGAGACTCAATGTCTTGTATGTTTTTTAACATAGCATTAGAGAGTTTTTTAAAAAGAATACATATTGACATCATAGGATACTTTCTGAGGAACCTCAAAACCCACAACCAATAGGCACTCTCCACAACCAATAGGCACTCTCTATAACCAAGCCCTTCAGTATCTTGCCTATGTCTATGGCTTAAAAGTGATGTTTTGACATTTAACAAGTTTTTTTACACACGTAACCCATGTTCTGTACACTTCTAACCCATGTCTTGTGCATATCTAATCCATGTTTTTTTTACACATCATACCCATGTTTTGTATATCTTACCCATATTGTGTACACATCAAACCCATATTTTGTAGACATCTAACTCATGTCTTTTAAGTATCTAATCTACGTTTTTTATACACATCATATCCATGTTTTGTATACACATAGTTTAAATATGTGTGTGTTTATGATATCTAGTGAAATACCTGATGTAGTAAGGTCATCCCAGCTGAATTTTTCTCATTGATATTAGCTCCACAGATCAGCAGTTTGTCAGCCATGTCGTGCATATTGTTCCACAAGGCCAGACCAAGGACAGTCTGACCCAAGCTGTCCTTGACATTGAAATTGGGTAAAATTCTAGAGTTAGCTGCTCCAGACTTGGACAGTTCCACTGCAAAAGAATAGACCAAATAGTGATATTGGGTTCAATAAACCAATTAGTGATGTTGTATACATCAGACCAAATAATATGTTGTAGTGAATAGACCAAATAGTAATGTATTAAATAGACCAAATAGTAATGTTGTATACAATAGATCAAATAGTGATGATGTTTATAATAGACCAAATAATATGTTGTAGTAAACAGACCAAATAGTAATGTTGTATTAAATAGACCAAATAAAGATGTTGCATTCAATAGACCAATTAGTGATGATCTATACAACATACCAAATAATATGTTATAGTAAATAGACCAAATATTAATGTTGTATTAAAAAGACCAAATAGAGATGTTGCATTCAATAGACCATTATTGATGATGATACAATAGACCAAATAATATGTTGTAGTAAATAGACCAAATAGTGATGACATACAATAGATCAAATAATAAGTTGTAGTAAATAAACCAAATAATAATGATGTACTCAATAGACCAAATAGGGATGTTGCATTCAATAGACCATATAGTGATGATGTATGCATAGACCAAATAATATGTTGTAGTAAATAGTCCAAATAGTGATGATGTATCCAATAGACCAAATAGTGATGTTGCATTCAATATATCAAATAGTGATGTTGTATTCCTCCGGCGGAGATACTGATCTTCCATCGAGCGCCTCCCCAGGTGGCGGATAGGGGAAAGTCCACCAGATAATGGGTACCGTGGAAATAAAATACTTGGGGCGGACCAAAATCATAACCTACTGCCTTGTAGGAAGTGGAAGGATCAACAAAGGCTAGGGAACCTTACCCAAAAACTAAGGCAGCTATCCAGAGAGCTGTAAGGGGCAACCCCCCAGACGGTTGTGCACAGGGTTAATAACCCGGCCATGTAAAAAAAACGAAAGCAACAGAATAAAACCTGGACTGATACCAATGGAAATCGACCTATGCATTCATATGGACATGATTTTTGGATTGCGACTTGGAATGTACCAAGCCTGTTTAGAGCAGGAGCCTTAGCCAACCTTGTTAATCAGCGGGTCAAATATAAAATATCTATTGCTGCATTGCAAGAAATTCGATGGAAAAATTCAGACATCCTCAAGACAAAAGAATACACCATATTTTATAGTGGTAACAAAACCAACACTAGGAACAGGATTTATTTATTTATTTATTTAGGCATTTTTATATAGCGCTTATCATAAAGCTCTAAGCGCTTTACAATTATTAAAACAAGTAAACTAAGTAAATACAAATGAGACACTAGGATAGTAACTACTATCGATTTGCCATGAAAAAATAAGCAGTCCGTGCAGTCATAGGCTTCAAACCAGAAAACGAAAGATTGTGTTCTTTGCGTGTGCGATTAAAAATGTTTAATATAACATTCATAAATGTACATGCTCCAACCGAAGACATGGAAGATCAGGATAAAGAATCCTTTTATGAGACACTGGAAAAGATCTACACCACGACATGATATTAAAATAGTGATTGGAGACTTCAATGCCAAAATAGGAAAAGAAAAGGTTTTAATGCCAACCATTGGCAAGGGAAGTCTGCATGAAGAATCCAATGACAATGGGATCCGACTCATAGACTTTGCCGTAGGAAAAGGGATGTCAGTTATCAGCACCAAGTTTCCGCACAAAAATATACATAAAGCTACGTGGAACTCACCAGATGGAATCACCCACAATCAAATTAATCATATTTTAATAGATCGGAGACATGGATCAGATATATTAGTTGTGAGAAGTCTTAGAGGAGCAGATGCGGACTCGGACCATCTACTTGTAAGGGTGAAATATAAGCAGAGAATAAGCTTAATTCACAATGGTCGTAATCAAAGAGACAAACGATTACCAAAAGCTGCCCAAAGACCCATTAACTCCAAAAGCTTACCAGAATGAAGTAGAAGCACAATTAGAAGCATCGCACGAGGAAGTAAATGGGGAAAACAACATAAATGATCAGTGCGATAAGATAAAAAATACTATTAAAAGATCAGCAGAAAAAGTAATGGGATTTCAGCAAGCCAACAACAGCGTAGGCTGGTTCAACAATGAATGCAGAGAGACTGTGGAAAAAAGAAACAAAGCACTGATGATCATGTTACAAAGGGAAACCAGAAAGACAACACAAACATACAAGGAAGCCAGATGGAAAGCAACCAAATGTGTAGGAAGAAAAAGAGGGAATGGGAAAAAGATAAACTAAAGGAAATAGAAGATTTATCAAGAGAGGGAAATATAAGAGGAATGTACATGAAGATAAAAGATGAAAAGAATGGATACCAAGCCAGACCGCAAATGTGTGAGAGCCACAATGGAGAATTTATCACATAAAATAGTAAAGTACTGGAGAGATGGGCTGAATATTTTGAGGACATACTGAATGCAGACAATAGACAAGAAGAAGATTATCAACTCCCAAAGGGAGGACCAGACCCGTTTATACAATGCCCAACTCTAGAAGAAACCAAAGAGGTAATTAATCATATGAAAAATCACAAAGCCCCCGGACAAGACCTTATCACAGCTGAACTGATTAAATATGGAGGAAAAGAACAACACAATCAGATACATAAACTTAGAACTAAAATTTGGCAAGAAGAGAAAATCCCGACAGAGTGGCAAACAGCATTAATAACCCCAATACACAAGAAAGGCTCCAAACTTCAGTGCACAAACTAAAGAGGAATCTCCCTAATAAATGTTACATACAAAATACTGACGAAGCTTATTGCCAAAAGACTACAACCTTACACTGAAGAAATACTAGGTTATTGCCAATGTGGATTCAGGCCTAACAAATCAACGACTGTTCAGATTTTCACCATCAGAGGCCTATTAGAGAAATGCTATGAATATAATATACAGGTACATCAACTCTATATGGACTATAAAATGGCCTATGACAGCATCAAAAGAAACTATCTATATGAGACTCTGCAGGAGTTTGGGATACCCAACAAACTGACAAGACTAATACATGTAACACTAAACAACTCAAAAAGCAAAATCAAGATTCAAGGAGAATATTCAAGGGAATTTCATATTAGACGAGGCCTAAGACAGGGAGACTCACTGTCTTGTATGCTATTCAACCTAACATTAGAAAGAGTTATTAGAAACATACACATTGACACTCGAGGAACGATAACAGGATACTTTCTGAGGGAAACTCAAGACCCACAAACAACGGGCACACTCTACAACCAACCACTTCAGTATCTTGCATAAGCTGATGACATAGCACTTCTAGGGAAATGTATTAAAGACATATCAAAATCCTTTATTGAATTAGAAGACGCATCATTACAAGCAGGGCTGGAAGTTAACAACCAAAAAACAAAATACATGACCATGATAAGAGAAGAACAAACAGATGAAGCAATTAAACTTAGAAACCACACTTTTGAAAAAGTAAATCAATTCAAATACCTAGGCTCCTTGTTAAATGAAAGAAACGAATTACTAAAAGAAATAAAAGAAATAATATCAGCCGAAAACAGGGCATACTTCAGTAGCCAGAAAATACTCAAAAGTAAAAACATTACAAGAGAAACAAAGAAAACTATTTATAAAACTGTAATGCAAGTGAAACTTGGACCCTAACAAAAACAACAGAAAACCTATTAAACACATGGGAGAGGAAAGTTCTCAGGAAAATATATGGGCCAACAAAGGATGAATATGGATGGAGAATACGAACCAACCATGAATTATGAACCATGAACCAACCAGTCTATATCAGGATCCCAAAATAGTAGCAGAAATAAAAAGAGGCAGGCTACGCTGGGCAGGACACCTAGAGAGAATGCCAAATGACAGAGGAACGAAGAGGGTGCATCACCAATACCCCAGAGGAAAAAGGCTCAAAGGCAGACCTAGGCTTAGGTGGATAGATGATGTGGAAAAAGATCTACAGCAGTTGAAAGTTCAAGCATGGAAAAGAAAGGCATTAGTTAGGTCTGAGTGGAAGGAAGTGGTGAGGCAGGCCAAAGCCCTACATGGGCTGTAGCGCCACAGGGATGGATGGATGGATGATGTATTCAATAGACCAAATAGTGATGATGTATATAATAGACCAAATAGTGATTTTATATTGAAAAGATCAAATAGTGATTGATGTTGTACTGAATGGACCAAAGAGTGATGTTGTACTGAATGGACCATATAGTGATGTTGTATTCAATAGACCAAATGATGATGTTGTATTGAATAGTCCAAATAATAATGTTGTATACAATAAATAAACTAGTGATGTGGTATTCAATAGACCAAATAGTGATGTTGCATTCAATAGATCATATAGTGATGATGTATGCATCGACCAAATAATATGTTGAAGTAAATAGACCAAATAGTAATGTTGTACTATATAGACCAAATAGAGATGTTGCATTCAGCAGACCAGATAGTGATGTTGTATACAATAGACAAAATAATATATTGTAGTGAAAAGACCAAACAGTAATATTGTATTCAATATACCAACTAGTGATGATATGTACAATAGACCAAATAATATGTTATAGTAAATAGACCAAATAGTAATGTTGTATTCAATAGACCGAATAGAGATGTTGCATTCAATAGACCAAATAGTGATGTTGTATACAATAGATGGAATAGTGATGTTGTATCCATAGACTAAATAGTAATTTTGCATTCAATAGATCAAATAGTGATGTTGTAATGAATGGACCAAATAGTGATGTTGTATTGAATGGACCAAATAGTGATGTTGCATTCAATAAACCAAATAGTGATGTAATGAATAGACCAAATAGTGATGTTGCATTCAATAGACCAAATAGTGATGTAATGAATAGACCAAATAGTGATGTTGCATTCAATAGACCAAATAGTTATGTAATGAATGGACCAAATAGTGATGTTTTACTGAATGGACCAAATAGTGATGTTGTATTGAATAGACCAAATAGTGATGGTGCATAGACATTGAGTATTTAATCACATTCAATTTAATATTTTAAAATCAATTTCCTCTCAGTCAGCACAAGTGTCTTAGAAAAAGGTTGCTGTGTAATTTTGTAAAGTCATGGTGAAGCAGACAGACATCTCACCTGTGGTGGTGAAGCAGACAGACATCTCACCTGTGATGGTGAAGCAGACAGACATCTCACCTGTGATGGTGAACCATGTTCTATTCCCAGTGGAATCTTTTATTCCCTCATCTTATCTTGTTATTACAAAGTTATGACATTAACATAATACACAAAAAACAGAAGCTACACCATGTGTCATGAAGATGGATGGATGTCAACCAATGAAATCCAATATTATGTGTCATTAAGATAGGATGTCAAAAGTATCTGTCCCACATTTCGTTGTGTACAATCATAAAGAGAATGGATTCATGGACTTGTATTTTTGTTTAATTTTTGGGGTTACCTTTATAATCTAAGAAGACCTGAACAACTGAGTGATGTCCCTTGACGAGGGCAAGATGAAGTGGTGTCTGCTGGGATACCTCCGATGTCGGATGTTCATATCCAAGCATTGCAGATGTGGGCGTGCGGACAGTCTGAGCGTTGGGGTTTGAACCATGCTCAAGTAACTCTCTCACCAGATCGGTCAAGCCCTCCTCACATGCGATATGGAGAGGAGTCTCACCCTGTCGGATGGAAACCATTCTGTCCTAACAAAATGCCACTAAACTTTCAGTGGAATGACAACAAAAATGTACTCTGGATCTTTCTTACAATGGAAGCCATGTTAATTCTTGGTTCAATTCAAAATTTTAACATCTAGTATTCCTAAATATGTTAACTTCAGTGATTAAAATAAGGGGGGCAGCATATGCTGCCAAATTACAGCTCTCTAAAAACCTAGCATAAAATTTTTTTCAACGCTCATGTTAATTGTAATCAGGACGGTGCTAAGGAAAAATTGGAACTGGGGTGAAGCCTGAAAGTAACGCGCCCCCCCCCCCCACATTGTTTCATCAATAAATGTTATAAGATTTAGGCATTTTATAAGGCCTATAAACATATGTAAGGATAGTTTTACAATTTGCTGCCCGCCCCCTATGCAGCCATCATTGTAATGACATGTTTAAACAATGATAAAACAGATACTGAAACATTTTTATATAGCCATTTATGATGATTTAAAAATCAACTTGTTCAATATGTATCCATTGTAAAATTTTTTTAATATATTATTTGACAACACCAATCCCTTTCCTCACCTTCAAGTTTGGTTGACCAACTGAAGCTCCATGTTTGGTCAGGAAGATTCCTGCCGCCTGGTAATCATGCTGAGCTGCCAGATGAAGCAAACTGTTCCCAGACTCTGGCTCCACGGCATCGGGGGATGCTCCAGCTTTGATGAGTTGTGATGCAAGGCTGTTTTCACTGTAAACAAGACTGTTGTCTGATGAATTCTCTGCCTAGAAGTTATGAAGAAAAAAAAACACATCTTTTAAACTTGAGACCCACTAATACCTGATATTTTCTAAAATTTTCTAAAATAGTTATTTTATTCAACATTTATCAATAATAATAACCTGACATGCACAGTCCAATTTTAGACAACATTAAATTGGCAGCTGTGTCATTGAAATAAGAATATGAATTACCTTTCCTTTGTCAAATATCACACAAATTTTTTTCAGTTATTTAAATAAATAACATAACATTACTGAAGACAAAATGTGTAGGGAAAGATTAAAATAACTTGATTAGAAACAGTTAACAAAAAAAAGAAGGAAAATCAGCAATTTCCCAGTTCTTTGTTAACTAAGTATGTTAGTTTGCTGACCAAAATAAGCAGTTTTAACACATTATTAATATTAACATAGATTCCCTGTGAAGGGTTTGATTGACTCAGTCGAATGGTGTCAGTTGTGTCACCTGTCGAATGTTTCACCTGTTGTTGCAGTGCCAGCCATAGCACAGTGTGACCATCAGAGTTCTTGATCTCCATGTTGACTTTGCCACAGGCTAGCAGCACATGGAATACTGCCTCATTCTTGCTGATGATTGCATTGTGCAGGGGCGTGCTGTCATGATTGGTTCAATAGGAATTAGCCAAATTAGATTACATATAATAACTAGTTATAACCCGAAAATCAATGGTGATCAGAATGTGTGAACTTCCCTTCTACTAAAGTTACTTGCCAAAACATGCATTCAAGAAACGCTCTCTATAAGAATCCCAATTAGTGCTCCCCCGTACACCACCTAACACTTTTTTCACACCCGTAACTCTAATGTTCTAAAATAGAAGAACACATTATTCACCAAATGCACTAGCTATATTTTTAAGAATCTCATTTAATTTAGCCCAGTAATCAGGAATCTTATTTTGTTAGCTATTGAGCTCACCATTACACAATACTTTCTTTCATACATAAAGAATTATAGTTATTGATACAATAATAATTATACCAACTGATTTTGTAATGAATCAAAATCTTATGTTACCTGAGTCCACTAACCATTCCCCACATAAAAGATTCTTTGTTATCAAATTATTTAAAATATAGGACACATTTGCTTTCGCTAAAAGACAACAAGAATCTTAAAATTAGTAGATACTGATATGTCTTTTTGAGCCAACCTGGAAAACTAATTTCTTTAACTCACCTGCCAGTTGAATCTTGAGCATTGACATTAGCCTTGTGTTCCACCAAAATTCTGGCAATGTTTGCCATTCCTTTGATGACAGCTGGAGTTATTATCTGAAATATCATAAAATATTTTAAGAAATCAATTTTTTTTAAATTTAAAAAAAATAAAATTACAATGGTTCAAAGGATAGCATCAAATTATATGGGTCAGTTCAAAGTCATAGAAATAAAGAAAAATTTAAGTATGAGATCAGCAAATGTTTACCTTTGGATCAAATCTGGCCACCATATGCAAGGGTGTTTCCTTATCCAAGTGAGTTGCCAAGTTGGTATCACAGCCATTAACAATTAGGAATTCTGCAGCACTTTCATCTCCTAATTTATTATAGTTTGTTTTTAAAATGTATTAAAGCGGATTAGATTACACTGAAACCTTAATTTGCTCTATCACTTTTCACCTTAATTTTCTCTACTTGCAAGTAAATATTCCCATACTGCATGACATGAAAGGATCTATATCAAAGACCTTAACTTAATGACATACAAGTATACAAGTAAAATTAATCAAAGAACTCTACTAAATGACATGAGCATATCTCAATCAAAGATCTCAACTATATGACATGAGCATATCTCAATCAACTCACCTCGCTGTATACTTTTGTAAAGCAAACACTTCCCAGAGTTATCTTTCCTATTTACATCTGCTTTGTTGGACACTAACGTCTGGGCTATGCTAGGCTGTTGTGTCCTCAGGGCAAGGTCAAGGGCAAGATCTCCTTTGTTGTCCACTTCATTGACTTTCACGGACAGCTGAACAAACATTTGAACATTGACTTTCAATGACCACTGAACAAACAACATAAGACTCTATTCTGACAAAGTTAGCGCTGGTTAACTCTCAAAAGACGAGAGATTGAAAAATCGGTCATATCTGGCGGGTGAAAAAAACGACCCCTAAAATATATATAAAAATAATATTAAAAGGCGAAAATAAAGATTTACTATTTTGGCATGTTAAATTTCTATTTGGAAATAAAGAAAAATTATTTTTACTACAGTTCTTGAAGAAATCTGGTACCAACTTGTCGATTCATAAATATTATTTTTCGCCATTTACACAAGTGTTGCCACAAGACCGGTTCACTGTTACTACACACTAAAGCATTGCTACGGAGTCTAATTCTGATTATAAGCTTGAAATGGACAATTATTCTTCCGTAGAGGAATATTTTTGATGATGATAGCACTTCAGATGTGTCTGATACAGAGAATTCTGTAAATTATCATCATAATAATAGTATACAAGGTTTGTTTACTTTTTTCATTCATATTCAACTCACGCATACCATGAAACTGTCTTAGCACTATTATTAGCCCTAAAATTAGTTTATGTCACGTGCCAGTAGTATACAATTCTTAAATAGATTACATTATTTATTTGGGTACTTGTTTAAATTGATTTGTAGTTATAAAATTATTTTGATATTATGTTTCAGTTAGCAAAATGTAAACAATGCCGTACAAGGCCAAGGCTATTACACTGTAACAATCAGCTGTGTTCCCTTTTCAATGAAAAATTGAAGTAAAAGTAATTTAGACAGATTGTTTTATATTTTGAAATCTTTTTATTATATTGTACATTTTTTATTTTAGCTAAAGCAATAATTTTTTTAAAATAATATTTTGACAGCATCTATGAAGGGCAGATGTCAATCACAGTCAATACATTGGGATGATGACAATGACTGTGGGACCCTTTGCTGCATTTAGACCATAGGTACAAACCATTATTGCTTCCTGATGTTAAAAAAAGGGAGGATATAAGGAGATTTCAAAAGCAAATAGACATTTTCAAAGTCCTATTTACTACAGAATTGGTTGGTGCGCAGGACAATGGGCCGAAGAAATTTTGTGTTTTCAAAAAATTGGTACCTTTATAACATCATTGAAGGGGAGTTTTATCTACTAAGTGGGTTTATTATGAATGCAGGACTTATCAAGGTCTTAATTTTAAAAGAAATGTCCAGGAAATCCTTTTATGATGGACATTGAGCAAGACCATTAAGACTAACGACATATTCAAGGCTATATTGAGTTTCCTAAAAGTTTCTGATACTGAAAAAAAAGGAAACATGCTGTGCAAAATTGGGAGACCCTTATGTATCTCAATGCAAAATACAAAGAACTGTACCTGCATCAAGAAAATGTAGCAATTGTTGAACAATTTAGGGAACAAATGACATCTTTGATGATGAACCCGTTACTGTAAAGCCCAAAATCTTTACATCGTGCGCAGCGACTTGACAATAACAACAAATTTAATTGTGTTACCATAACAGAGCATATGTCACAAGCTTTGTTTTTGATACATTTATATGTTTTAATAAATAAAGAAATTTTTTTCAAGAATTTTATAGGCATGGTCTTGGCGAAGGATTACATCATTTGATTGGTATTTCGGGGATGCTTAAAAAATGTTTATTTATTAAAATGATCTTTTTTTTCTTAACTTTCCTTCTAAAATAATACTTACTAATAATCCTCTAAGGGATAATTTGATGCAGTATATATTTCCTTTGAAAAAAAAATTATTATTTTTTTTTTAAAATAATTTTTATTTTTTCAAGCAATATTTCATTCAATGATATGTTGCCTACAAATTGTCATAACTTTTTTATTTATGAGTCTATTCTTTTGAAATTTAAATATGTTTTGTAGTATTGAACACATTCTAATAAAATATCAATGTTATTGATATAATTGGAAACACTTTTTTGTTCCTTCTTTGTAAAACTGTGATGTTAGTTTTTTGTCGACTTAAACAAATATTTTCTTTGCCCAAAAATAGTCATAAATCAAATTTAGCAAGGATATTTTGAAAAAACACCAAAATCAATTAAAGAGCATCCAATTACCTTTAAAATGATATATAATACTTGTAGGTAGCTACAAAATTACAGCCATGAGACGCATTAAAGAATAAGATGTATTCAAGGTCATTAAAAACTGGAAAAATCTAGTCTTTTGAGAGTTAAGCTAAATTTAAATGCTTATAAGCAGGTGCTATTCTGTCCACTAATTAAAATGTTTATAATCAGTGGACGCTTCGGCTAAGAAGACTTCAACAGCAAAAATACAGACACAAACAAACTTAGCTGATGTCTAGTCGACAGGATATGGTAGGCCTGATCAATTTAGAAGGTTATAATCACAAGCTAGTCTATCCAGTAAATTAAGATGCTAAAGTTATCAGACCATTACCTGAGAGTCGTACTCTATGAGATACAAGAAGACCACATCTTCTCTCTCTGTCCTTATAGCAGTGTGTAAGGGATATTCTGTTTTAGCTTTGAACATCTTGTACAAAAGTGGGGCAGGCATGCTGACAAAATCTTCTCTGGTAAATTGATTCTAAGAAAAATATTTTAATGTACCTTTATAATTATTTAGAATCAAGTACTTTTTGTTACTGTTTGAGTTTAAGTTCTGCTTTAGTAGAGTAATTCATTCATAATTAAAATTAACTTTTGTTGAGCTGAAGTTGGCAACTTACTTTGGAAACAACAAACCAGCAGAGGTCATTAAAATAATTAGGCTAATAATTACATTTAAAGAAATGAATTGATAAAATGTAAAGGAAAGACTCGTTGAACACAAATTAATTATATCCTGTCACATCCTTAAATTAAACAATTGGACACTATTTGGATAATTGGGTTCATTCAATCCAACTTCTAGCTGGCTCAAGTTATGATGTAACCAAGTGTTTGAACTAAGCAATAAGTTTGTCTTTACCCAATGGTTTGAGATGAGTTCAGAGCAGTGTTTCTTCAAGACTTCTGCTTGCATCTCTTCTGCTGTCTGGTAGAATTTGATGCAGTTTTTCATGTTGACAAAGGACATTAAACCAGTTTCACATCTGAAAAAAAATGTTAAAAGTCAAAAATTTTAAGATCAAGATCAAAGGATTACAGAATTAATTTTCAAAGATGAGTACACCAATACAAATTATAAGGACATGAAAGTTGATCAATCCTGTTAATATATTTTATCAATTGAATAAAATTTAAAAGACAAATATTTTTTATTGTATCTATATTGGAAAATAATCCTGGCTAGCTTCTAATGTGTTAGCAGATTTCTTCCGTCTATGCAGCTTGCTTTGAATACTAAACTTGCTTAAACACAGAACATTTAAAACTGACACAGTTGGAACATGGTAATGAGCAAAATAAAGTATGGGCAAACCTAAAAAAAAAAACCTAACAAATAACTAAAGTATCCGCAAGAAGCTTTCATAAGCGAACAAACAACATTAAAAACAAAATTAAATAAAAATAACAGTATCTGAGAAGACAGCTAAAGAAAATAATTAGGTGAGAGATTAAATACAGGCAAAAGGGGAAAGAAGAGAGGAAAAGTAAGTCCACTGTGATTGGTCAGAACAAGGAGGGGGCCGGAGAAAAGGATAAACAAGTGAATGAGAACATGACATTCAAACCAAAGTTAGAAGACACACCTGTTACGCAGCTCATCGAGCTTGTATTTAGTGGCAGCTCTCAGTAGTTCTAGTAGGAACGAATCCTGTGCTTGAATATTGATCTCATCAGTATAGATCCATCGGATCAGAGCATAAGCTACATCATGTTGTATATCTTTAAATAAATAAATTTTAGTCCCTAAATGAGCTACTACCATAGATTTTTTATTGCTCTTCACAAGTTACCAAAGAAATAGTTCATGCATAAGCTTTCATTTGCATTTATTGTATACATTTAAAATTCTTTGTTGAATGAAATAACATGTTAAACTTTCTTCCAAATATTAAATCTAATAAAGGTTTGTGCCAGATGTTCTCATAACACTGACATTGAAACACATCAGCTTTTTAAAATGGGTAATATAATCCTCACAAAAATTCCCAAATCATACTATTTTTATACTATGTGCACTTATAAATATTTTTTTTTTAAACTTGATCATGCGTTGTAAATGTTTGGGAAACACATTTCTACAACTGTCATTTGTTTACAACCTGTCATGTCAAGTCCTGAGACAATTTGGAGATCAGGAACACCCCAGTCATCACTCCGAGCAGAGAGGATAAATTTGTGAGCATTAACTTCATGGCCTCCTTCCAATTGGATTGTCAAATCACTTGAAACGGAAAAAATGTTCTCTGATAAAATAATTTTAAAAGATGTCTGCTGTTAATGAATTATGGTTAAAACTAAAAAGAATTTGAAATATAAAAAATGATTTTTCAAGCGCCCAGATAAAAAAATATTGTCAAACCTGTATTGTTCCTTGTCAAATAAATCTGCAATAAATCTAAGCAGACGGGAAACAAAACCATCCTGTGCTTCACCGTTAACACCACTTGCTGCAATTACAACTTGGTATCTTCGTTCTACATCAGCAAGCCGATTTTGCAGCTTTACATATTCTTCTCTGAGCAAACTAAGGTGGTTCTGAAGTTTAGACACTTCATCTGTGTACAAAAGGTACAAGTTGAAAACAATGAAGGAAAATACTTTATTTCATTTTAAAATATAGGAAAATCAAGTAATCCTCCTGTTGGGCGCATCTGATCAGATTGATACAAGCTAACCATTTATGTTTTGTACATGTAAGGAGAGATGACAGCGAGCTCTGCTCAACAGTAGCTTAATGTTTTCCTTTTCTTTATAAGCCAAGACCGTTTAGTGTGTAGAAAATGCTTTCAGCGTGCAGATTGTAACTGTTTGTTCAAATTGATATGTCGTGCCTTTGCATGTTACTTTTTTGAAGTTTGACAAATGTATTATTTTCTTGATTGGGTAAGTTAATTTTTTTATATTAGTAAATATACTGATACACTATCTTATTATGTGTTTTTAAATAGTAAAAATCATATAGATATATTGCGCCCATACGAGATATTTATATTGATCCTTATATATTTCAGGCAACTTCTGTTGTCTAACATGGTGGGTGGTAGGAAAATTTTTGATCTTAAGAATCTCAAGGATATAGAGGAAATTTCTTAAAACATACTTATAGGGGATAAATTTTATATTGTTTGTTGGTTAAATTATTTTTAAAATAAATTATCTTAACTAGTCACTCATTAGCAGTATCAAATTGATACACCGCGCCCGGACTCATTTGAAAAGAGCATGCCTGCCGGAAGGTTAACTTGATAGTCAATTCCAATTAATTGGGACAAGGAGCTCTATATGCACTTTCGCATTTGCTGGTCCAACAATTTGGAACGCCCTTCCAGTCAATTTCAGAAACAAACAGATATTGGAGTCCTTTAAAACCGATTTAAAGACACATCTATTTCGCAAACACCTTCTAGGATGATTGTCTACCATATCTTCCATTTAATGCATATTGGCTGTGTTCCTTAGGATTGAAATGGGTAGAAAGACTTTGACTTGGTATGCTTGTAATTAGTTTTTGTAGTGTTGCGTTTGTTTTAAATGTGGTAAATTATATTACTTTGTACCGCGCTTCGAGTCTTTGGGGATGAAGCATGTTTTTTAAATAAACTTTATTATTATTATTATTATTATTATTATAGACAATTTTGGCACTCTCTTTAAAGAAAACTCTTGTCTTTACAAATATTAGGCCTAGTAGAGGTTTTGTACTGTAGAATAGGCCGGCACAACTCAAAATGTATAATATTATATAATATTTTATGAAAAACTTGTGCAGGCCTTAAAGAAAATAGGACAGGACTTGTGCGGGTCAAAAGAAAATAGGACAGGGAGGAATGCTGTTAAGAAAATAATAATAATAAAGTTTATTTGAACAACACGCTTCATCCCCCAAAAACTCGAAGCGCGGTACAAAGTCAATCATATTAGAAAGAGAAATAAAAACAATCTAAAATTTACCACATTTAAAAACAGACGCAACAATATAAAAGCTACATATGAGCATACCAAGTCAAAGTCTTTCATCCCATTTCAACCGTTAGCAACACAAACAAAATACATTAACTGGAAAAAGATGGTAGACAGCATCACCCCAGAAGGTGTTTGCGAAATAGATATGTTTTTAAATCAATTTTAAAGGACTCCAGTGTCTGACTGTTTCTGAGAGCGACAGGAAGGGCGTTCCAAATTGTTGGCCCAGCAAATGTAAAAGTGAGCTTTTCGTAAGTCTTAAGGCGAACACGCCGTATCGATATTTTGCCACTATCGGATGAGCAGAGCTGTCTAGTGGGTACATAAGGAAATAATAAGAATAAAGAATGTTTCATTTATTCGCGGGCCGCAAAGTGGGTGCTGGCGGGACGCATGCGGCCCACGGACCATATATTGTGTAGGCCTGCTGTAGAAGATGCCCTAGTTAGAGTTGCAACATCACAAAAAATATTTTTGATATTATTAGGCACATATGTTTGGCAAATCTACCCTAACAGAATGTCATAATAAAATAATATTGTTAGCCTTATAACCGGTAATCTACCACTTAAGCATGGGTTATGAAATGAACGTGTTGTTCCGGTTTTGAGTGCTATTTAAACGGTTATTGATGTCTGTTAATTGTACACTGACGCCCACTGGGTTTCCAGTGGCATAGAAAGAGAGAGTGGGTGCTGTTTTCTTGTTAAAGTGTCAGAACAAAGTGCGATAACGTTGCAGGAGTGCATAGAGAGATATATTTTTTCAGGCTCACTAATTGTACTAGACAGATGGGTGGCTTATACAAACATAAACCAAATCAGACTTGGAATCTATGCATACTCCATTGTTGTTCATCAAAAAAATTTTGTTAATCAAAATGACGCTGGTGTCTATCCACAGACTGTTGAAAATATGTGGATGCATGCAATGCACAAACTGAAAAGACATTTTGGCACAAGCTGCAATTTACAGTGGAACCTCTCATAAGGAGCATAATTCGTTCCAGAATCTTACTCGTTAAGCTAAACACTCGTTAAACGATACAATTTTTCCCATACAAATCAATGTAAAATACGATAATGCGTTACATGCGGAAAAAATAGTCATTTTCCAAAATTTTATTAACATTTATTCAAATAAAATTACTTATGAATTGTTAAGGAGTGTAACAACTTGGAATACAATTTAGATTTGAAACAAAAAACGTAAATAAAAATATGAATTTATGAAAAATAATTAATGCTTTTTTAACTAGAAAACTGTCTAAAGACATTTGTTTTTCCCAACGCTTCAAAATTTGATGAAAATGTGTCACAGCATTATCATTGAATAAATTTGTAGCATGAATAGCCACCTCCTTATTAGGGTGATGCTTCTGAATGTACGATGCAACAGTTTCCCATGCTTTCAGCATTTCTCTTATTGCGCTAGAAGATTGTTGCTTTGCTACTTCCTTCTCCATTAATGAGCTCTCCTCCATAATTTCTTGCTGTGAAACACAATGCAACTCCATAAGCTCTTCGGTGGTCAACTCTTGACTCTGCTCTTTCACAAGCTCTTCAATATCGTTGTTGTCCACCTCGAGTCCCATTATATTGGCCAATGACACAATCTCGTTAACTGTAGACTCCACAGGTACTGTTTCAAAATCACATTCAACAACACTCTCTGGACAGTTTTTTCCAAGCAGAAGTGAGGGAAAAAGGAATTCCCCTTTCTGCGTAACTCGTTATGCGAAATGTCGCTCGTATAAGGGAGCAACTTCTTCACATTTTTTTTTGCTCGTTATGCAAATTACTCGTTATGAGAGGTTCCACTGTATTTGCATGTCATATCCCACAATAGTTTTTGTGGAGATGATATAAACTGAGACTCTGTTTTCTTTTTATACCACACATTTAAATCAAATTGTTTAAATTTTTATATTTGAAAAATTATTAAATTGTTTAAATTTTGCAAAATTAAAAAAACAATATTTTTTTGTAAGTGCTGAAATGAATATGTACTATGCCATAAAAACATTTCCCTTTGGATCAATTAATGAATTTTAGGTAAATTATTAGAGATGTCCCGTGATGGCCGCCATCTTGGTTGACACAACCAGTTAATTCTGTCACTAATGTATCCCTAAATCGATCCCTATGACTCACTATGACTATGGCTAACCTGAACCCTAAATCGATTCCTCAATCTAACCTAAACCCTAAATAGCACTTCCAACATGATTTTTTCTTAACAGACACTCAAGTGGTAGATTACCCTATAACATTTATTTTACTTAAAGGTGTAAAAGCTCATCGTCATCTGGCGTTGGGTGGTTAGATAATAAAATATTGGCTAAATCTGAGGACGAATGCCACGGCGTCTTTTGGGTGTTTATTATAGTTGCAGTGAATTAGGGTTAAGGTTAGGTTGAGGGATCGATTTAGGGTTCAGGTTAGGCATAGGGATCGATTTAGGCATACATTCGTGAAATTCGATAAAATAGTGGCATTCGTCCTCCTAATTTACCAAAACATTTAATTGTCTAAATTGTAATTAGTATTTTAATTGTGGCATTTTCATTTTAATTGTATGTTGTGACCAACATTAAAATGGTAAATAATAAATAATAATGTCGGACATATCGACAATTGCTAAAATGAAACGAAACAGTTATTCTATCCGTCTGTTGTTTAGTGACTTGAAGAATTAAAAATAACGTCTCTATTAAAATAGCGAATGGAAGTATTCGAGGTATGATCACACCCCTTTTTATTGTATTCAAGAGATTGTTCATTACCAGCCGCCATGTTTCAGAGTTTGATCATGTGACCTTATTGAAAATGCTAAAAAGTTGGCGCTAATTTTCGATTTTTTAATGAATATATATAAGAATGAGCTACAGTGACATAATGCCAAAGAGCCTATACGATTTAAGTACATTCGGATTCCTAAAAAAATCCTAGTTATTTTCTATTATTTAACGGAAATCGAATAAATTTAAATGCGCAAAAAATATTTTAAATCCGCTTACTTTTGTTTTATTAAAAGTTAAAGTTATATTATTATAAATTACAAATACATTTAATGTATCATCTAAGGAACTATTTTAAGCATTTTATATGTGTTTGAAAGTTATGAAAAAATAAAATAATAATTTTAAAAATCATGATCAAAGATCTACACCGTAATCACATTTATCAGTCGTTTTTAGTGCGTCTTTGAGTGCGTTGTTAATATTGCGAAATAAAATTAAAATTAATTTGTTCTAAATAATCACGCAAATGGCGTGATAGCGCGAAGAGCCTATTCCGCAAAACTTTCTTTTAAGGTTTCTTTAAATTTAATAGCCACGCGTGACAAAACTGATATTGTATTTTCCCTTCTTAAAAGTAAAATTAATAAATAAAATTGATTGTTTTTTAAATTGTTAATAAAACACACACAAATTTTGGCTTCGTATATTTTTATATTTAAAAAGACTTGTCTCTTTTTATTCCAAAAATATACTTTTATTAAATTTATAACGTAATAAAAACTAACCTTTAAATATTATTCTCAAAAAAAAAAATACTGTTAAAGTCAATCAGTACAGCGCAACTCCATAGCTAAAACGCATTCACTAATCCACTTATACCTCATAAAAATAAGAACGAACCATATGAAGTGCAAAATATGTTAGTTTGGGTATGGAAAGGACTACAATCCGGTGGAAGATTTTCTAAATTTATTTAAATCTGGCTGGGGGATGGGGTTGGTCACTTTGCCCCAGGCAGCACAAGATACATCTCAAAATAAAGGAATGATTTTGATAAATAATTAACCTTCTTGAGTACATACATATCGGAGGTAGAAAATAGGATGTGTACATTTTTACGTGGATGACAATATATTTAAATCCTATGGTATTACATTTGTGAAAAAAGAATGCTACATTCTACTTTTACAAATATGGGTATGTTCATTTTGTCCAAGGCAGCACAAGATATGTCTCAAAATAAAGGAATGAATTTGATAAATTATTAACCTTCTTGGGTACATTCATATCGCAGGTAGGAGATAGGATGTGTACCTACATTTTTACGTGGATGACAATATATTTTAAATCCTATGGTATTACATTTGTGAAAAAAGAGATGTTAAATTCTCTTTTTGCAAATAAACATATGTTTACCAATTAAGAAGATCAATGGCGTTAACAAATATTGGGTACAGTTATATATGTATCCATGAATATCAAAACCCAATCATTTTACACACTTGAAAATTAAATTTTGACAAATGAAGATGGGTTAATATTTTCTTTTTTTTTAAAATGAATTTTTTTTAAAATTTTTTTTTGTTACTTTGCAAAAAGTAAAGAGGTGTGTATTTTTATGAGATTAACAATTTTTTTAAAGAAAGACAGTCAAATCTGATATAGGCGTGAAAAACAGTTGCGAGATTCTTCTGAGATAAAAGAACTCTTTGTTTTAAGATGTTCTGATAATGTATAATTTTTTTTAAAGGCACAAATGTGTTTAAATTTTTTATGAAGATACAAATATATATCGAATTCCTGTGATACAAAATAAATTTATATCCTATATAGAGTTTTTGTTGCATATGTAAGATTAGGTGTTTTTTTAATTTTAGAGAAAAAAGTTGTAATTCAAGGGCACGAAAAGGGGTAAATCTAAAGTATTTCTCTAGCGTAGTAATGTTCTCTCAGTTAACTTCTTTAGTGACAAAAGTGATATAATTTGTTATAATTTGACTGGGTAATTTAAGGTTATGTTTAGAGGGGGGGGGGAGTAGTTTATGAGCGTGAAAGGGTGCAGGGTACGCGTATCATATATAGCAGATAAACACTTCTCACAACGTAATGATGTTAGAAACGTAAATATCATTTCATTTTAAAATTTATGAATTGGGATGAGTTTTTGCAATAGCAGTTAGAAATTATCACAACGGACCTACCATTATTATCCTGATAACATCGGGTCATGTATTCAATTCACTTTTACTAAGTCTTTCATAGTATAACTTACTTTTTTTTTTCAATTGTGGGGGTTCATTATAAAAGTGTCATAGTAGGCAGTAGCTTAATGTTTTCAATACATTGTTCTCCTGCAATTCACGATTCTTTTATCATTTATGCGTCTTTTTTTTTTAAATTTATGCAACATGTTTTTATTAAAAAAAATTCTTATTTATTTAACAAAAACACTTTTTTAATAAGTTAAGCTTACTTCTAAACTCTCTGTACCTTTCATTTTTAGACCGAGATAAAAAAAAAAAAAAAAAAAAAAAAAAAAAAAAAAAAAAAAAAAAAAAGGCATATAAAGCTCTCTGAAAGGTGGTAATGCCCCTTTATCCAATCTGGGGCCATATGCATAGGCCATCTGCCATCTTCAAAAATGTTTCAGCAGTGGGTATCGAGGGTTTATGAAGGTCGCCGTGACCTGCTTTAAAGATTCGATTGTCATAGCCATCGAGTTTTGGGTTTAGGCAAAAATCTTCCTCTCATTGAGTCACCTCCCCCCTTACCCAGTGAGTCATTCGTTCAGGACGTTGACCGTGGGGTCGGGTTTTTTGGCTTCGGGTGATCGGGTTCACCTTACTAGTCTGCCGCGCTACGTAGATGCAAAACCCTTGCGACACCGCCGAGCTCCTCGGCGATGTGGAGAGGTCACTCTCCCCAGACGTCAGATGTACTGTCAGACAGGCGGTTTTATTTTAAATTAGAAGTGGCCTGCATTGGATTGTTACACGTGGTCATTACTAAACACTTACGCAATTGGTTTTAAAACTAGGAATGAAAATTGTGAAACATGAATATGTAAAACTTTGTATAAGGTGCGTCTTATATACGCGAAAATACAGTATAGTAATAGTCAGTGGCGTAGCTAGGGTCGGTGTCACCCGATGCGGTAAACTCGTGGTGTCACCCCCACCCCCCAGCCCCATCCCCACTCCAACTTCAAAGATGGATTTGTTATAGTTGAAAAAAGTCCACAGTATAACAATGACAAGAACAAAAAACTAATTAATTAAAGGTCAGAAGATAAATGTATTTAAGAACTGTATTTAAGAATTTAGAGGAGCCAGAAAGATCAATGAAATGTTACATTAAGAAATGGCGTCAGCGGGGCGAGTCTAGACTCTTATGCCCCCCCCCCCCCCCCATTCCCCCCCCCC